CAGCAGCAGCAGCAGCAGCAGCAGCAGCAGCAGCAGCAGCAGCAGCAGCAGCAGCAGCAGGAGCGGACGTTTTGAGAGTGCTGATGGCAGCAATGGAGGCGAAGCTGGCGTCGTCTTCTGCGTCTGTGTCTTTGGAGTTTTGTGCTGCTCCTTCGCGCTGCAGCATTTGGAGAAGAGCAGCAGCAACAGCAGCAGCAAGATCTCTGGCGAGAGGCACTATTTGCTGCTCGTAAGAAAGGACCATTTGCTCGAGAGTGGCCACGAGGCGGTCATTGTCTATTTGCTGCATCAGCTGCAGCAGCTGCTGCGCGAGCTGCTGCAGCTGAGCAGCAACAGTTTGCTGCAGCAGCGGCTGCTGCAGCAGCAAGAAGGGCCGCAGCGAGACTGCGGCCTGCACCCGCACGGGCAGCTCGGGGTCCTGCAGCAGCTGCAGCAAGCCCAAAAAGGCCTGGACCAGTGGTCCATCAGTGGACCACCTGCTGCTGCTGCTGCTGCTGCTGCTGCTGCGGTCCACGTACAACTCCAAGACCCAGCAGGCCCGCAGCCGCAAAAACTTATTTGCTGAAGACAACTCCGGCAGCACAAACTTGAAAAGCATTTCTTCGAAAGGAACTTTTCTTTTTTTGGAAGTTATTCTTTCGCTAATTGCTGCTGCCAGCACAAGTGCTGCGTCCTTGGCTTGGTAGAGCTCCTCCGGCACTGCTGCTGCTGCTGCTGCTGCTGCTGCTGCTGCTGCAGCAAACTCCACGCACACACGCTCTATCGTCAGCAGCATCTCCTCCAGAAAGTCCTTCGCCCGGTACCGCACCAGACTCTTCACGAACTCAATTGCTGCACACAACAGCAGCAAGCAGCAGCAAACTGCAGCAAACTGCAGCAAGCAGCAGCAAGCTGCAGCAAGCTGCAGCAAGCTGCAGCAAGCTGCAGCAAGCAGCAGCAAGCAGCAGCAAGCAGCAGCAAGCTGCAGCAAAGTGCAGCAAAGTGCAGCAAAGTGCCCAAATCAAGTCCGTTCTGCTCAATCTTCTCCAATCTTCTTCAATTTCATTTAATTTCATTTAATTTCATTTAATTTCATTTAATTTTATTTAATTTCATTTAATTTCATTCAAAAAACTCCAAAAAATCTCCAAAAATTTTAAAAATTCAAAAAATTCAAAAAGTTCAAGACGCCCGCATGTTCAGGTGTATAGGCAGCTCGAAGAAATCCCACGGACGGAAGAAGAGAGAAGCGGCGCTTTTAAATCATTTGATGAAATTGTTTGAATTTAAATCATTTAAGAAGTCCATTTCAATTAATTTAATTCATTAAGCGTTTAAAGAAACCAAACAAACACGAAAACGCGAAGCTGCAGCAGCAGCAGCAGCAGCAGCAGCGACAGCAGGAACAGCAGCAACAGCAACACCAGCATCAACAGCAGCAGCAGCACCAACACCACCAACACCAACATCACCAGCAGCAGCAGCAGCGGAATCCCAACAACAACAACAGCAGCAGCAGCAGCAGCAGCAGCAGCAGCAGCAGCAGCAGCAGCAGCAGCGGCAGAGGCAGCGGCGGACGCGGGAGGCATATTGTTGCTGTTTATTTGTTACTTGTTTATTTGTTGTTTGTTTGCTTGTTTATATGTACAACAGCAGCAAATGGCACTGCAGCAGCAGCAGCAGCAGCAAACAGCAAACAGTCCCGCAGCAGCAGCAGCAGCAGCAAGCGGCGCCGCACCCGCCGCTCCCGCAGCAGCAGCCCCAGCAGCTCCAGCAGCAGCAGCCCCAGCAGCAGCAGCAGCAGCAGCCCGAGCAACAGCAACAGCAGCAGCAGCAGCAGCAGCAGCAGCAGCAGCAGCAGGAGTACCTGGCAGCAAAATGCATGCGGAGAGGAGCTCGAACCAGCTGTCCATAGTGGAGAGCAGCAAAGGAGAACTTGAAAGACAAAGTTGAGTTGAAGACCAATAAATTTTGAACAAGAGTTTGAGTAGAGTCATGGGGTCTGCGTGCTGCTGCTGCTGCTGCAGCAGCAGCTGCTGCAGCTGCTGCGGGGAGAGCTGCTGCTGCTGCTGCTGCAGCAGCAGCTGCTGCTGCTGCTGCTGCTGCAGCTGCAGCAGCTGCGCACCCGCAGGCAGCAGCAGCGGCCAGCTCTTGTCTATTATTTTGTCCAAAGCTTGTCTACTTTCTTTTCCTTTAAACTCATAATTCCCAACGACTTTTCGCAAAACCATTAAAGCATTTAACACTTTTGCTGCTGAAGCAGAAGCTGCCAAGTCCTCGCACACCTCCTCCAGCAAAGAGGGCCACCTGCAGCGCCCCAAACCACGATTTAGGGTTTAGGGTTTGGGGTTTAGGCCTTGGGCCGCTGGGTCTAGGGTTTGGGGTTTAGGGTTTGGGGTGTGGGCTTTAGGGTTTAGGCTTTGGGGCTAGGGTTTGGGGCTACGGTGTAAGGTTAGGGTTTAGGGTTTAGGGTTTAGGGTTTAGGAGAAAGAACTGCAGCAAAAGCGGAAAGCAGTGAAAACAAAAAGTAAAAGCCAAAGACTTAAACAAAACAACTAAATAAATAAATAAACAAATAGATAAATAAATAATAAATAAATAAATAAATAAATAAATAAATAATAAATAAATAAATAAATAAATAAATAAATAAATAAATAAATAAATAAATAAATACCTTTCGGGGTAATCATAAGAAGCCACAATTCGAATGCACTCAATTAGCTGCAGCCGCACTGGTGCTGCTGCAGCACTTGTGTCTTTGACTAGTTTGTAAAGATGCTGCCGCAGCAGCTGCTTCTCCTCCTCGTCGTAAACCCCAGCAGCAGCAGCAGCAGCAGCAGCAGCAGCAGCAGCAGCAGCAGCAGCAGCAGCAGCAGCAGCAGCAGAGCAGCAGCAGCAGCAGCAGCAGCAGCAGCAGCAGCAGCAGCAGCAGCAGCAGCAGCAGCAGCAGCAGCAGCAGGTGTGCTCCGCCAGGTCTGCTGCGGGGTCGCGCCAGTGCTGCCGCACTTCGTTCTTCAGAGTCACCGAGGCCGCAGTGCGGATGGGCAGGTCGATCTGAACAAAAAAGAACAAAAATGAATAAATTGAGAAATAAATTGATTTAAATGGAATTTTAAATGACAAATAATGAATAAATAAACAATTATAAACGAAAATAGTCCAAGTTCGGACACAAATGCGAAAGAAATGGGGAAAAAAGAGAAAAATCCGCAAACCCCGCGCCCACTGCAGCAGCAAAAACCCGAATTTTTTCGTTTCTTTTTCATTTCTTTTCCTTTTTTCTCCGTTTCAAATTTTATAATCCTTTTTATTCTTTTTAATTCCAAAAAGGCCCAAAAAAACTCCAAAAAAACATTTAAAAGACATTCTGCAACAGAGCATTCACTTGCCAGTTTCGCTGTCGCGCCGGGTGTACGTACACCTCAGAAACCGGCGACGACGGAAACAGCGACGCGGAAGAAATGAAAATTAAATAAATTAAATAAATTAAATAATAAAACAAATTAAATTAATTAAATTAATTAAATTAATTAAATTAATTAAATTAAATAAATGAGAAAGGAAGAAGGAAGGGGTTCAAACATAGAGACAGAGGCAAAGATGCAGCAGCAAAAATAAATAAATGCAACACGGGAAAGTGGAAGCCAACAGCCACGCAGCAAAAGGAAACTGCTGCTGCTGCTGCTGCTGCTGCTGCTGCAGCTGCTGCTGCTGCTGCAGCTGCTGCTGCTGCAGCAGATCAAATGGTTTGAACTGAAAAGCAGATAAATTAAATAGATAAAATGATATAATCAAATTAGATGAATTAAATTAAATTAAATTAAATTAATTAAATTAAATTTAATTAATTAAATTAAATTAAATTAAATGTTTAATTAACTCAAAGAAAAGCCAGTTTGCTGCAGCACCTGGTCGTGGCTGATGATGTGCATCAAAGCGCTCAGAAGCCCTTTTGTGGGTGACAGCTGCAAACACAAAAAAGAATTAAATTAAATTAAATTAATTAAATTAATTAAATTAAATTAAATTAAATTAATTAAATTAAATTAAATTAAATTAATTAAATTAAATTAAATTAATTAAATAAAGAATATTAATTAAAGATAAATGAAAGAAAGAAATTCAAAAGGATAACTGTTCCTCTTTGTTTGAAGCAAAATTCGACTTAAAAGAAAAAGAAAAAAATGAAAATAAAAACAATAAAAGACAAATTAAATATAAATCAAATGCAAACCAAATATATGTTAAATTAAATTAAGTTAAATTAAATTAAATTAAATTAAATTAAATTAAATTAAATTAAATTAAGTCAAATTAAATTAAATTAAATTAAATTGAAATGAAAGTAATTAGAAGAGAGAGAGTGTAGAAGCAGCAAAAGCTGCTGCTGCTGCTGCAGCAAATGGAAGGCGGGAGAAGGAAAAACAAAGAATTGCAAGGACCAAAGTGCGTCAAAAATGAAATAAAAGAATAAAATGAAGAAATAAAACGGAAATAAATGAAAATAAATGAAAATAAATGAAAATAAACGAAAATAAATGCAAAAAATGAACAATTTGAAGCTTTAAATGCAAAAAAAAGATCAAAAATTTTAAAAATTGAAAAAAATTGAAAAAAATTCTCACAGACTTCAACACCGACTCCGCCTGCCCCCGAGTCGCCGCGTCCGGGCTGTAAGTGCCCTCCAGCACTGCAGCAAACAAACAAATAAATAAATAAATAAATAAATAAATAATAAATAAATAAATAAATAAATAAATAAATAAGTGAAAATATAAATAAATAAATAAATAAATAAATAAATAATTGGGGGAAGAAACTATTCAGAAAAAACGGAGTCCAAAGCTGCAGGCGGAAAGCTGCAAAGTGGAATGAAGCAAATTTGCAAAACTGGACGAAAGCAAACAAACAAACAAATAAACAAATAAATAAATAAATGAATAAATAAATAAATAAATAAATAAATAAATAAATAAATAAATGAATAAATAAATGAATAAATAAATAAATAAATAAATAAATGAAATGGGTTTTGCAGCTTTTGAAGTTCGCCTCACCTTTGCAGAGCTGCTCGGGCTGCAGGTTCATTTTGCTGCTGCGGCGGGCGAGGAAGTTCAAATGGAGTTGGCGGAAAACATGAAATTGAAAGATTTTGAATTCAATTAATTCATTTATTTTGCAATTAAAGAATCAGTTCTTCTTTCAAAGCAGCTTTTCCTTCAAATCCAGCAGCAGCAGCAGCAGCAGCAGCAAAACTCGCCGTTGCAGCTTTCGACTTCCCTGCGCAGCAGCAGAGCCGCAGCAGCTTCGAAATTCAACTTCAGTGCACCACCACATTCGGGAAATCGGGGGGATTAAAGCAATTGATTGGACTAAAAGGGCCAAAATGGAGTTCATTTTAATTAAAATGAGAAATTAAAAGACTAAAAAGCCAAAAAAGTCCATTAGAACCGAAGAAAAAGGGAGTTTCCCACGCAGAGGGGCCCGTGCTGCGCTGCTGCTGCTGCTGCTGCAGCTTTATTCGCAGTTTGCCCGGTGAGTTCGCGCAAAAGCAGTTTTTTCGGCAATTTTGGGTAAAACGAAGAAAATAAAAAGGATTTAAATGAATAATTTGATCCATTTGACGCAAAAAAGGGGAAAATCGCACCGGAAAGCAGCAGCGGCGCCTCGCGGCGAGGCGGCGAAGCAGAATCGCAGGGCCAAGTGGCCACAAATGGAACTTCGGAGGCGAAATTTGAAATTCGGAATTTAATTAAAATTCTTTTATTTCGCTTTCGCCGCAAAGACAGCAAAAAAGGCGTTTAAAACTCCCTCACCTCCTTGTGGGGCTGCAGGCTCCCGTCTTCAGGACTTTTCAAGGCCGCGATCTCCGGGGTTAATTTACTTCTTTTAATTCTTTAAACGCGTTTTCCCACTCTCTTTGAGATTTCCTTTCTTAAAAATTACATTTTATTCCATTTCTCCGCTATTTTCTCTAGCTTTCCGCCCTCGCCGCGCCGCCAGCCACGGGCTGTGCTGCTGCTGCATGCAGCAGCTCCGTAGCTCTGGCGCAACGCCGAAGAGCCGTTTGCTGCGCTCTTTTAGCCAATTTATATAAAATAATTATTTTAAAATAAAAAGAAATACAATTAAAGGCACAAATGGCCAAAAGACGCGAAGAATATTCCATTTTCTGCTGCGGACAGCGCCAGAAGTGCAAAAGCTGGCTTACCGGTATTCCATTTGGTGCCTTTGAGGCATTTTTGGATTTAATTTGCACTAAATTAAATATTAAAAATGCATTTGATACTTCTTTTAGTCTTTTATTTCTCAATTTAGTTTTAAATTTAATCCTGAATGCCTTTTTGCTGCTGCTAGCTGAAAACTATACGCGCTGGGGAGTTCAGAAACGGCTGCAACAAAAGTGCAGCAGCAGCGCAGCAAACGGCTCTTTGCAGCAGCACATTCTGCAGCAAATTAAAACCTTTTAAAGCCTTTTCAGCAGCTTTTAACTCCCCTGCTGCAGTCCCAGCTGCAGCAGCTGCCCTCTCTCTTTGCTGCAGCGCTGCTGCACTGCTGCGCTGCTGTGCTGCTGCGCTGCTGCGCTGCTGTGCTGGTGTGCTGCTGCGCTGCTGTGCTGCTGCGCTGCTGCGCTGCAGTGCTGCTGCGCTGCTGTGCTGCTGCGCTGCTGCGCTGCAGTGCTGCTGCGCTGCTGCGCTGCTTTATGCATTTGCTTTTACCTTAAGGAAAGGTTGTCAATTAACTTCTTTAAAGGGACTTTTTTGAATTTAAAAAAGAAAAAGATATTTAGCTTAGCACTTCTGCTGCTCTTCATGGCATGCACTGCCTACAGGTAGCAGCAGCAGCAGCAGCAGCTGCTGCTGCTGCTGCTGCTGCTGCTGCTGCAGCTGCTGCAGCTGCAGAAGTTATATTATAAGTGAGATGCCAGGAAATGTGTGGAAGGTCTTATTCAAATGAAAGATTTCATTTATTTTTATTTTTACTAATTAAAAGTTTTTTAAAACTCTTCAAAGTGCATGCAGCAAACTGCAGCAGCAGCACGAGCAGCAGCAAGGCTGGGGGCCCCTGCTGCAGCAGACTGCAGCAGCAGCTTGAGTCCAGCCGTTTTCCAAAACCCTCAGAGACACAAAACCTCTTTTGCTGCTGCTGCTGCAGCAGACGCTTCTGCGCCGCCAATGGGGCTTGAGGCCGAGGGTTTAGGGTTTAGGGTTTAGGGTTTAGGGTTTGTGGGGAGTGTGACTGCAGCAAGTCCCGCAGCTGCTGATGCTGCTGCGCCATTCGCAGCAGCAGCTGGAGTTTTTTGATTTGATAAAAAGAATTAAAATGAATTTCAAATAAAGCAGCAGCAGCAAAAGCAGCAGCAAAAGCAGCAGCAAAAGCAGCAGCAAAAGCAGCAGCAAAAGCAGCAGCAGCAGAAAGAGTAAAAGGAATTATTAGAAACTAAATTAGGCTTTTGGGAGAAAATCAAATTTTATTTAAACAGTTAAATATATTTATTAAAAGTCCGCAGCAGCAGCAAAGTGCTGCAGCAGCAAAGTGCTGCAGCAGCAAAGTGCTGCAGCAGCAAAGTGCTGCAGCAGCACCAGCTGCAGCAAGCCTCTTCATTTAAATAAGCCTTTATAGTTAAAGGCCCAATCCCTTAGGGAAAAACGGCCTGCTGCTCACAGGAGCAGCTGCAGCAGCAGCAGCAGCAGCAGCAGCAGCAGCTGCTGCTGCTGCTGGCGAATTTGAAAATTAAAAAGAACTTAAAATGCCTTATTTGCCGCTGCAGCAATTTGCAAAAAAGTGCAGCTTGAAATTGAACAGCTGCTTCCCCGAGAAGGGCTTTTGGGGGTTCCGTTCTGGCGGGTTGGCAATTCAGATTTTTGTCCGAAGCGATTCTGAGGCTGTCTGCGGGAAAGCAGCTGCATGCGCTGAAAAGACACTGAAAAAAAGAGTTTAATTGTTTGAAAATTAGGAAAATAGACTAAGTGGCGTTGAAAGAATTGCAAAAGAGGCTCTTTTGGTCCTTGCTGCAGTTCAGATTCTGGCAGCTGGAGCGGCGAAGACCCCCGCGTGTGCGGCGGAAGCAGCGCCTTCTGGCGGCAGAAGCTGCGGAAAAAAGCCCTTAAATGAATTAATTTCGTTTTAGAACTTCAGTTGTTCAAAAGCGAAAGAAATCGCCGGCGTTTTCGCGGCAAACGGCTCCGCGCACACGGAAAGCGGCTGCGCGGCAGCTGTACATACACCGCAGCGGCGCCGCGGTCGATTGCAGATTCAGTTGTCTGTTTCGCGCGAAGCTGCGGAAAAAAGAGAATTTTCGGAATTAATAAAGAATAAAAAGGATATTTAGCGAGTTAAGAAGTCCATTTCTCGGCGAACTGCGGCTTTCCTGCTGCACTTGAGCCGTGTGCGCGTTGAGTCCGTTCCGTCTTGCCTGTCCGAGCCTCCGGCGGGCTCTCCCGCGAAGTTATGAGTCGCTTCTTTTGAATTTGAATTATCATTTTGAAATTTAATTTCGAAAAAGGAAAAGAAAGCGCTCGAGCGGGATTTGCTGCGGCGAACGCGGCGCCGGGAGCTCCGCAGATTCCGCTGCTGCGCCTGCTGCTGCTGCTGCAGCTCCAGGCCTGAAACCCAGCCAAAAGGACTTTATTTTGCAACTTGAGTTCCAATTTCTTTTAATTCTTTTCCACTTCTTTCAATTCTTCTTTTCTGCTTCCAAAATGGCGGCGGTGCCCCCCGTCGACGAGCCGCGGGAGTTCCACGTCGGGGTGTTGGGCGTCACGGGCTTCGTGGGCAAGTGAGTTGCAGCAAAACAAATAAATAAAAATTAATTAATTAATTAATTAATTAATTAATTAATTAATTAATTAATTAGTGCAGCAGCCTCTTAACTTGGGCGCAGCTCCCCGCAGCAGCAGCTCCAGCCGTGTGTCGCTAGCCTCCTGCTGCTGCTGCTGCTGCTGCTGCTGCTGCTGCTGCTGCTGCGTGGGAGAAGCTCGAAACTAGGAAGCAGAGAAAAGAAGGGCTGCGGGTTGCTGCAGCAGCAGCTGGGCCTTTTGCTGCAGCCCAGAGGGCCCCCCAGGGGCATTTTTGCTGCAGTTGGCTGCGCTGCACAGCAGCCGAGTAAAAACCCCAAAGACAAACTCGCCGCCCACTGCGGTGTACGTACACCTCAACTGCACGTACACCTGAGGTGTACGTACAGCTGAGGTGTACGTACAGTTGAGGTGTACGTACACCTGAGGTGTACGTTCAGTTGAGACGTCTGTACGTGTCCACCTGAGGTGTACGTACACCCGAGGTGTACGTCCACCTGAGGTGTACGTACACCCCACCTGTCCGTACACCTCAACTGCACGTACACCTGCGTCCACCTCAGGTGTACGTACACCGCAGCTGTCCGCACACCTCAACTGCAGGCCAGCTGAGGTGTACGTACACCTGAGAATATCTGTTTGCTGCAGATTAATAGCGGAGTATTTGTGCAGCAACTCAGGTGTATGTAGGGCGTGCAGCAGCTCCAGCCGTGTGTCGCTAGCCTCCTGCTGCTGCTGCTGCTGCTGCTGCTGCTGCTGCTGCTGCTGCGTGGGAGAAGCTCGAAACTAGGAAGCAGAGAAAAGAAGGGCTGCGGGTTGCTGCAGCAGCAGCTGGGCCTTTTGCTGCAGCCCAGAGGGCCCCCCAGGGGCATTTTTGCTGCAGTTGGCTGCGCTGCACAGCAGCCGAGTAAAAACCCCAAAGACAAACTCGCCGCCCACTGCGGTGTACGTACACCTCAACTGCACGTACACCTGAGGTGTACGTACAGCTGAGGTGTACGTACAGTTGAGGTGTACGTACACCTGAGGTGTACGTTCAGTTGAGACGTCTGTACGTGTCCACCTGAGGTGTACGTACACCCGAGGTGTACGTCCACCTGAGGTGTACGTACACCCCACCTGTCCGTACACCTCAACTGCACGTACACCTGCGTCCACCTCAGGTGTACGTACACCGCAGCTGTCCGCACACCTCAACTGCAGGCCAGCTGAGGTGTACGTACACCTGAGAATATCTGTTTGCTGCAGATTAATAGCGGAGTATTTGTGCAGCAACTCAGGTGTATGTACACCTGAGAATATCTGTTTGCTGCAGATTAATAGCGGAGTATTTGT